GTAATATATAAGTCGAATTTATTTTTCGCTTTATTCCTAGATTAATACTTAACTTGTTTTTAGTTTACTACTCTATATAATACTTATATCGCTTATTTTTGCTTACTAAAATAAAAGGATATATAGATAATATAGTCTCTATAAATCCTAAAGAATTCCTATTCTTTAATTACTCGACTCCTACGCCGAGTAATAATACTAAGTACTAAGACTATCTTTACTCTATATACTCTATAGTAATCTTAAAAGTAGCCTTAAAACGTACCGACTCTATATAAAGTAATCTAGCGACTCTTACTTAAATTATATATATAGTATATAACTCTACTCGAAGAGCGGCATCTTACTAAGCGCCTACTCGACTAGCTTAGCTAGCTCGGCGAGCTATAATATATAGCTACCTAGTTATAAATATACTTTCCTATTTCTACTTCTATCTTCTATCTATTCTTAGATAGTTCTTAGTATACTATCCTACTTATACTATAGTAGGGTAGAAACCTTTAACCTGCCGTCTTATAGTTAGACGATAATAGGACCTATTATCGACACGCAAGTTGAAATCGCTACGCCGCCAGAAATTGTTCGAGCAAAAGTAAGTCAAACAACCCTATCCTTATCTATACGTCTAATCGACGGAAGCGTACAATTTTTGAGATACGTATTATCTTCCAAGCTGACTGACTACATCCTAAATAGTTCCTCGACTTCGCCTCGTTACAAATCTACAAGCCGTTATTAATGCAATCCTTAACACCCCAAGATCCGTCCAAATCCCCACTTGACCTAGTCCCCGGCGATAGACTTGACTACGTCTTTAGCAACGGCAAAGTCGTGTGCACCGTACGTGAAAACTCGCCTCGACGGATAGCATGGACTGCGTCGTTGGGGTACATTAATGGCGAGCACTATTGGACGTTTGAACCCGACAGCTCCTCCCCAGGAAACACGATTCTCCATCACGGAGAAGAATTTGGCGGGCCGCTAGCTTTCTTGATGGGCGATAATTTCATTGCCAGGATGTCAGGGGCCAAGTCCTGGGTGGAGAAGTCGAACAACGACTTCAATAAGGACTTCAGAAAGTGGATCGAAGAGGGCGAGGAAGGAGTAAGAAAGGCGGCTACTACCAGTCTGTGATCGATGGTAAAGGTGCTTACAAATCCTCATACGGCTTCCGTACAGCGTACAGCGCAAGGAGATTGCGTGGCTAGATGATCGCCGTACACCTTTCTGAAGCATTCATGGAAAGGCCGACGCTGCGCAAACCTAAGTCACATTAAGTCATACGCAGTTGTTCGATTCACGTACAATGCATTGCTCTTCAGTTGGGACCGACGGTCCTGTTGGTAGTGGAGAGGTAACTCTTTTTTTTCGGTGCCAATGCCGAACCGGGCGTCATGCTATTCTCGTACAGTCCTCAGAATGCGTTTGGCTTGTTGCAAGGTTGTTTGAGCCATCGTCTCTGTAGGACGTGCACCTAATGGGTCCACACCGATCCACGGACGGTGCAACTAAAATCGAACCTTTCCCTCATTTTTTCCTAGTGCTCACAAACCTGCAAATGGGACAACAACGCATGAGAAGTAGCGAATGATACCTTTCAGCTGGTCAATCTATTCCGTGCGCATTCCAAGCACCAGTAAGCAGTGTCACCAATACGGCCGCGCACTACAAAACCCCGCCTGCTATACGAGCTACTCTAGTTGTGGTTGCACGCCTGCAGTATTTGGGCTGCATGCTCACCGCAGCAAAAGTCAGCGGAGCATATATGCTGCTCTGATGCACTGTAGCCTCCCTGCGGTAACGTTGAAGCTTTTCCGATTCCCGATGCAGCATGTCAAAATAGGCGAGCGTGGGAGCACTTCGGGCTCCGAGTTGTAAGTATTCATGCGTTCAAGGATATTGTTAAAATAGCTCCAATATTGGTACAGCGATTCACGGACGATTCACAGTGTAACAATTTTTCTTGCCCTAGGTAAGGCAGTCATCTACTGGCCCCCAGCGCCTCAAATGTCTATCTACGCTTCGAAGCATGGTCTAAGCCCTCTAGATGCGATATTGCATATCTGTAGGGATCGCAATGAAATATGCGGCAGTAGGCCATGCACCTGAGTCCGACAAGTGTTCGATAATTTTATCTGGTACCTGCATGTTCTTGCGTCGGGTTGCACCTATCATAGCACTCCCCATCTTTGGCACAACCCATGCAGCGAGTATCTTGTTGTCGTGTACTGCTGCTCGTACTTGCTCCGCCTTTGCTAAGTATAGGTGATCATGGCCGGCTACTTCCACGATGCAGCCGTGCCAAGGGGTAGGTACATGGAGCAAATCGCAGGATTCAGGTCGGGATCCGTCTGGAGGCAGGCTGTTCGTAGCTCGAACTTGGCGGCTCATCAGATTGATACCGAACTTGGGTCCTGCATTGTTGTGACTGGTATGTTTGTCAGCGATGGCCTCATTCGGGAGCATGGTGGACCTCGTTTACGCATGAATGGAAAGCCGGATATAATTTGGGAGCACCACCTCTACGAGGTTGGAGTATGCTTGATTTCTCTACAGGCGTTTGTCAGCCAAATAATGAATTGAGAGATGTGGATGACTTTTTACCTCAATCATCTCAAAAGCGACCTTGGACGAGAGCTTACGGCGTTGACTCTTACTGAGGTGTTGGGTGTATTTGTTGTTCTCGAGGTCTTCCAGCATAAATCGAGAAAATCCTCGATATAGCCTCAACATGGCAGGATCGTGGCTAGCTATAGATGATCGAAGCTTATGCGTGTTGGCTTTGAACCCTTGCATTAATAGACGACGGCATAGCTCAGCATTATCGTTGATTCCGACTTGTCCGATGTGGTGAGTGATTGAGTCTAGGGCCAGCTGCTGCGCCGATAGTGGACCTTGGAGATTATCCCAGCTCGCTTGGAGCATCTCGGGGAGCGAACGTAGACATACACGTTGCCTGCCATCGTCGAGAAAAGCTGTGCTGAGAGCATCATTCATCATAGAGAGATGCTTGCCGTAGTTATCGACCGTATCGTCGTCCACACCAACTACGGCTTTAGTCAGTGCCGTTGGTCGAATGCGTAATGATGGTGGTAGCTTACTACAATCGCTAAACACATGGCCGTCACTCACTATCAGCACAGTCGCTCCTGGAGCGTACAAGCGCTCAATGTCTATGACAAACTTGTGCAAAGTAGTCAAAGCAATGGCCTCGGCCAAATCTGGCAGATTGCCTCCGACTTTGTTCGGATTGGATGACTTGCACGGAAATGCAGGCAGGGCAAATTCAAGTTTCATGCCGTGCCTTGTGAAGTGCTCGACACGTCGAGAGAAATATCCCCGGCCGGTAGCTGTCCACTGATCATCAGGTGTTAGGTTTCGAATGGTGATATCGAATAGATCAACGATCTCATCCACAATTCTGTCATTGGTCTGGTAGTTCGATGTCATCTCTTGTAATGGTATCCCGATATGAGTAGATCGAAGAATTAGATCCATAAAGTATTCGTCCAGATCATCAAAGCTATCAAAGGCGTTTGCTCTGACTATAATTCCGCATATGAGACTTCCATTGTGTTGCCGTTCCAAGAGTTTGGCCCTTGCGAAGGACGGAGATGTGCCAGATGCAGCACTGCCACTACAGGCGGCAAATGGTAAGGAAAAGATTTTGGCCGTTCTGTGTGGAGTGGCGAGAGATGTAAGAGCTCGAAATGTTGGCCAGTTCGCTCGCAAGGCTTCATTCGTGCAGTGCACCACATAACCGTCGTGACGACGAGAGTAGATAGTGACAAGACGGTCGTATACTGAGCTACCATTCATCGGGAGTCTCTCCATGGTTGTGGTGAGATTGACTTAGAAGTTCGTTGCAGACGATTGTAGGAGAATCTAAGCCGAGATTGTAATTGGACGATCTTTGAGTGAATAGAGAAGACTTTGCTTTGCTTTCAGCACGCAGAGCACGCTGTTCAGAGACGAACGTCGCACTTAAGCACGGATGAGGTTGGATATACATAGCTACAGCCGAGAAAGCTAGACTGTGAAAGGAGAGTACGCTAGTCATGTGGTGCTATTGTAACGATGGAAAGGCGTCCGACAGTACGATCTAATGTCCGTAGCTTGAGCTGTCGCAGTCCGTGCTACTGCGGCACGGACCACCTGCAGCGCAGGTAGAGTACTTGCAGGAAGTGAGTAGTGCTACCATCCTGGGCCAGCCTGTGCATTTGGCGCGCAAACTCGCTTAGGAAACATGTTAGGTTGTCACACTTTCCTTTGCACTCTTCACTAGATCAAGCCATGAAACCCCGAAATTGCGAGCCCGGCCATCAAAACGCGTCTACCTCTCTCCCTGAATTCGCATTCTGAGGGCCGAGAGTGGCCGAGAACCGGTGTCGCTAGGGGAAATTCACTCAGAAAATGTGAACAAACTCGCGCAACCAAGCCGCTACACTCGCTCCCTCCGAAACGCTTTGCGTCACTAGCAGTGTCCATGGTCACTCTATGATTAGCGTTGCATATGGCTTCGGAATATCTGCGGTATCCTGGCACGGAGCAACCTTGGTCACTCAGAATCTTTGTACGCTGCTCTAGACGCTGTATATAGTGTTCGCATCGGTATTCAGCTGTCAATATTCGTAGAGTTCTGCTCCTGATATTTTGCCGGACATCACATTAAGTTCCCACCCACCAAATTTCTAGTAGTTCCACCTTCGAATCGGCAAGCAAACATGAGTGCAGGAGCAGCTCAGGGAGCAAACGACCTTCCTCCTGCAGAGGTGACGACCGGCAATGTCACACTTACCACGACAACAAGCCGCCCAGCGTCATTGAAAGATCCATACTGCGCCTTGAGCTCGAATCGACGAAGATGTATCCTTACCATCGTGACAGTTGCTGGTGCCTTGGGACCACTCGCCGGGAATATCTATCTACCTGCACTACCAGTCCTTCAACAAGCCTTCGGAGTGGGACCAACCGCAATAAATGCTACAGTCTCTTTGTTCATGATTGTATTTGCCTTCGCAGTAAGTCGGACACATCATCAACAGAGCCGGAGGAATAGTTACTCTAACCAGTCTTGTCTAGCCCTTGTTCTGGACCAGCTTTTCTGATTATAAAGGCCGACGTCCTCTATACATCATCTCCTTGGCTATATACATTATAGCCAACGTACTCACTGCTGCTGTACCTGCCGATTTCGGAGCACTTGTCTTTTTGCGTATCCTACAAGCCTTCGGCTCTGCTGCGGTTGTATCAATGGGAGCTGGAACTGTAGCAGACGTATGCCACCACATCCAATCTGCAGCCCAGTACTAACAACATCCGCAGATAACGGAACCAGCAAGTCGTGGCAAAGCTATGTCTCATTTCTTGCTTGGGCCACAGATAGGACCAATTATTGGGCCTGTAATAGGAGGTGCTTTAGCTGGAACCTCGTGGAGATGGATTTTCGGATTTCTGGGTACGCTAGTGCCAACCATGTGGCAACATGTATGCTAACGTTACCGCAGCACTCTCAGGTTTCGCACTGTGGGCAGTCGTGGGCCTAGCACTTCCTGAGACCCTCAGGTGTCGTGTCGGAAATAGTCGAATCAACGCTGAAAAGTCTTGGTTGATCTGGCCGCCTCGTTTCTCGATGGCAACTGCACCGCTTGAGGAACAGGGTCCTCCGCCGCCACGTCCGACCTTGATGGGATATTGGAGATTGTTCAGCTATCCGCCGATCGGAATCGTGTCTTTCAACACTGCAATTCTCTATGCAACGTATTTCTGCATTGCCGTCGACCTTCCAAGAACCCTTCAGGATGTATATGGTTGGAATTCGGCTGCTGTTGGTGCGTCATACCTGGCTGTGGGCGCAGCACTCATTATTGGCTCTCTCGTGGGTGGAAGAGCCAACGATGCGCGGCGCAAACACCTGGTCAAATCATCGTCCGAAGACGAGATCCCTCCTGAGACCCGGCTGATCGACCAGATATGGGGAGTCATTCTCTGTGCTTCAGGGACACTTATGTATGGATGGTTCATTGAGCGAGAATATCATCCGGCGGCGGTTCTGGTCAGTACATTCTTGGTCGGTTTCGGTATGAGCTGGGTCTTTGTGTCTTCAACAGCATTTCTGACGGAATGCGTGCAACAACAAGCAGCTGGGGCTTTTGCGTTGGGAAACATGCTTCGTAATCCTGCGGCTGCTATTGCTGCTCTATTGACTCCTTCTTTGACGCGAAATATGGGGATAGGATGGTTCTTCTCAGGTATTGGTATCTTGGATCTATTTGTGGTGGGAAGCGCGGTCTTGTTGCTAAGAGTTCGAAGCCCGTACTGGCGAGCGAAGAGAAAACCCTCACCCTAGATTTTAGGTCAGGCGGCTCATGGACATGCAGTGCTTAGTCAGAAGTTTCCGATCTAGAGCTGGACAATGTCGTTCCGTCCGATCGTCTTGTCGCGAAAATTCAGACCGCGTCTCTCTACAGCGCGTCATACAAAAGCTCGGATCCTTTACTCAGCAGAAGTAGAAAGCACAGAGAGGCCAAGAACTGTTGGTGTCTTGGTATTCTCAAACTACCTCAGACGAGTAGAGTCGCCCTGGACCATCGGTGTTTGCGCGTGCTTATCAGTCGGGGTCTCTTTTCCCTGTCAGCATCACGGTCCTAAGGGCGTCTACATCCGACTGCCCTCGGATATTAAGCCAAGGCTAAAACGTTCTCAAGCATCTGTCTCCAAGCATACCTGAGCCAGACGCATAGGTACTCTATCGTGCGCTCTGATGCGGACGTGGGAAAGATGGGTATGTTCCGAATAGCCGTAGTCAAGAGAAAATGCATTCGTGGAGATTATAGATGATGCTAAAGCAGTTGTGGTTTTCGGTAATGTTAGCAAGTGGCATGGTACTTGACATTTGAGGCTGTAGCGCAGAGCCGAGTATGTATGTTGGCACCGTAAGATTGGAATCGAAGCCAGGTAGTTGTGTAGCTTCAAGTCGCACTCAGTGTGAAGTCTCCGCACGCTAATAGGATATATAAAATCTCTCCATTCGTCTTCAGTTCCAACATTGACTTCATCTTGCTAAAATGACGTTACTTTCACTCATTCCTACTGTGCTCCCGCAAGTGATCCTGATTATGGCGGCAATAACTTGCTTGCTATTCTACCTGTTTCTGCAGCCTCCAAAAGAGCCTAAACATATCCCAGCAGTTCCTTTCTGGGTTTCGCTGCTACCACTGTTCAGAGATGTCGATCAGCAAGTTATCTACAACACATACGTTCGCGACCTGCTACATCAGCATGGAGCAATAAAGATATTTTTCGGCTCGCAGTGGAACGTTCTGGTCGAAAGACCGGCCTTCTTAGCACATGTCTTCAAGAACGAAGACCAATACCAGAAGAGTGGCAATCAGAAGAAGATTCCAGGCAGCGTGCTCGCCAACTTCTTGGGCGATAACATCATCTCAAGTCATGGAGAAGTGTGGAGGCTTTATCAAGAGATCATGAAACCTGGACTTCAGGAAGGATGGTCCATGGATCCCATCTACGAGAACGCTTCCTCGCTATTGGAAAATTTCAAGCAGACTCAAAGACCGCTGTCCGTCCAAGAACCACTGCAGAGGTACACGATCGCAAACCTGGTACGAGGGCTCATGCACCTCGACTTTGACATGAATCACGAAAAAGTCGTCCGACTTAGTCAGATGCAGAGCAAAGTCAAGGGGCAGATCTTTCGCCCTGTTTTCATGAGTTTCCCCTCTCTCGACAAATGTGGGTTTCCAAGCCGAGAGAAAGCACGCCGGGACGCTGCTCGATTTACGGACCATCTCGTGTGTATGTTGGCTGAAACGTGGCTCGAGAGGTCGGACGAGAACCGCCCAGAGGAGAAAGGACACAAGGACGTTGGGTGTCGACTTGTCCATGCTTGGAAACAACAGCGAATCACCCATCAACAGCTTCGAGACAATGTGACTGTTCTCTTTGTGGCCGGGCAAGAAAATCCTCAGCTCGCAATCCTATCTGCTCTATATTTACTTGCCAAACAACCCGAAATTCAGGAACGACTACACTCAGAAGTTATGACTGCAGGAAATAACAGACCCGACGAAGAGCAGCTCAGGAACATGCCGTATCTGACGGCTTGCGTCTATGAGAGCCTGCGGCTTTTGCCACCAATCGGTCAGCTCATCAATCGACTGGCCACGACGCCATTTGTGCTGGGCGAGGACACTGTGGTCCCTCAAGGAATGTATCTTGGTTACAATGCCTATGCGACCAACCGAAATCCAGTGACTTGGGGTCCGAACGCAGAAGAGTTTCTGCCCAATCGATGGGGTGACACCGCGGATGATGTACAAAAGTCCTATCGACGACGCAGGGCTCGAGCAGAATTCATCACTTTTCATGGTGGACGGCGAGCATGTTTAGGCGAGCGATTTGCGGTGTTGCAGCTCAAGGTGACATTGTACACATTAGTGCGGCATCTTCGGTGGGAACTTGATCCCCTATGGCCCGATCGTATGACACCGGTAAGTTTGCAGACTGCGCAGACGCTTTGTCATAGTATACGCAGCTACTAACATTGTTCAGGCCGGGCCTCTTGCCCCGAGAGGGCTTAGGCTGAAGTTTGAGCATAGACGCCAGTGAATCGGTTGTTGCACCAAGTAATTTGAGCGCGAGACGCCAAGGCTTGACTAGCTGAATGTGCATTCGCCAATTGAGCACATTCAAGGATAATCGTACGGGTCTTGAGAAACTCCCTCAATATCTCTCCACTATCGACGGGGCTAAGGGGGCCGCGGGCCCGGTGCTAATGTCGCAAGTGATTCGGGCAAGTTGGGTCTTTGAAGACCAGAGGTTGGCACGAGCAAATATCCGCTTTACTGAAAGTACATAGCTGCTGTCAGGATACTGCTACGAAACGACTTTCCGAAATACAGTTGGTGTGCTTCTTGATCGTAGTCTTTCCACCTCCATACTTCCGTACTCCCGCCAACAGAGCCATGAATGAGCCACACAAGCCATGTGCCATAGCTCAAGTGCATCCAGAAGAAGAACAAGAGGAGGAGCAGGAGCAGCAGAGGGAAGAGAGACACGCTCATTCACAAACGGAAGACCGAAGCTCTCAACAGACGAGTCTCGGTTCACGTAGAGCTCTCTGGGGATGGTTGGCACTTTGTTTTTCGGTCAGTGTTCATAGAAGAGATCTTCCATTCTCCTGTATACAATTTTGCTGACCATGGAGTGCTATTATTCAGACCGGACCGACAAATGGCATGATCAACCGCTACGTGACGGCCAGCATCCAATCTGCAGCCAACCGACTTGGTCATATTCCGGGAACAGACCGTCCGTGTCCCCGTCGCAGCATGAACGGCATTCAGTGCGTCGTGCGTTTCGGAACCGGAGAGATCAATTACAACAGCTACAATCTCTACCTACAAGCCATCAGTCGGGCCTGCGAGGGCGTCATCTCCATCCTCACCGCTGGAGTTGCTGACCATGCCAACAACCGCAAACTAGCGCTCATGACATCGATCTATGTGTTTGGAACACTTGTCCTTCCCTTTGCAGGGCTATCTGGTGGGTCCTTCCAGGATCTAGAGGCCATGGCTGGACTGTTTGTTGCCGTGACTGCAGTGGGTGGAGTTTACACTGTGATCATCGCTTCGTACATTCCACTTTTCATGCGCGCTGTCGGGTGGTTCAGAGGAGACGACAGGCCTGGAAATGATGGAAGCGAGCCAAACACGGTGTGGACCAAGGGGACAAGAGTGTCGGTGCTAGGTCTTGTTGCAAGCAATGTGGGATCGCTCACTGGTCTACTCGTCGGCGTCATCATCACATATACGGGTGGTTCAGCGATCACTGCAGGATACTTCAACTACTTGCTGGCGATCACGGTCGCAGGATGCACGACCATTGCATTTGCTGCCTTGGGTCACTACCTCCTCCCCCAAGTTACCGGAGCAAAACGGTCTGTTGGATCCAACCGCATCCTCCTGCCATTCACGAACTGGATCAAATTGCTGGGTTCGGTACGGAGATACCCGAACACGTTCATAATGTGTATCGGCACGCTGCTGTGGAACACAGGCTACTCCAATTTTCTGCGCCTTCTTGGCCCTCTCTTCCTGGAGACTTCCGGGCTAGATTCGGGGAGTGGAGTGTATACCGTCTGGTCCTTTGCAATCCCGCTTTTCGCTTCCTTGGGATCCCTGGCCTGGATGTTTGCCTTTCCGAAATTGAGTATGGGCATTAAATTCTGGGCGTATTGCTTCTTAGGCGTCCAGCTTTTGGCCATTACGTGGGGATGTCTAGGTGTTAGCGACAACATTCCCATCGGCTACAAACATCAGGCAGAGTTCTGGGTTTGCATTGTTCTGTTCATGAGCTCGGGCAGTGCGTTGCGCGCGCTCAACCGAACCTTATATGCCTCTATCATTCCACGAGACTCCGAGGCACTGTTCTTCGGGCTTGATATAACTCTGGATCTGGCGACAGGATGGATCAATCCTCTTGTTCAGGGGGTGATTCAGGACCGAACGGGCAACTTGCGCTTTCCTATGATACCTAATGCTATCGCGGTAGCGGTGGGCATTATATTCTACATCTGTATCGACATCCCTGCGGGCATTGACGACGCATCGCGACTACTAGCGGAAGAAGATTGACCCTAGACAATGTATACCGCCCCCAGTATGGTAGCTTTCTATACTGTAGATAGATTTGCCATCCCCTTTCGTCCCTGACCGGCCGTACACTAAGAAAGAGCATTTCCCGGTGTCCGAGGCTTACGAGTCAATAGAGCAGCCGCTTCCATACCCTCCATCATGAGTGATCAAGGATACAACCTGAAGTTGGACTCGTGGATGTCAGTGAACATCTTGGAGCAGCGTACACCTAGCTAAATCTCACCCTAACTTGATATAGAGGTTAGCCTGGAAGTATAGATCGTTGAAAATCTCGTTGCGGGATCTCAGAGGCCGTTCTGAAAGCTCAATCTCGTAAGAGTTGTGTTAAGTCGAGCACGAAGCTCCTGTCCACTGGTGAAGAGCCGCATCTGCGCAGAACCTTGTCTTGGCGTGATCACTCCGATCACTCTGCTCGCTCCTTGGCGGGTGAGCATCACGCCTTGGACCTGGCTCCCTTCCATTCGAGTATTGACTGATCGGGATGGTCAGAGGCAGCACGGTGGCTACGACAGTTGTTGAGCGGGTGCTGGAGGATCCGACCAAGGGCCAGAGCTGTGCGACAGGGTGCAGCAGCGAAACCAGTTGGTGCAGGGGTGCTACGAGCGCGAGCGATCATGTGCGAAAAGAAGATTGAGAGCAAGACATACGCCTGCGGGGGAAGGCCATCGGGCATTCCGATCGGGGTCTAAGCTTACTAGGTCGGTGTTTACCTAGCGGCCACTTCGGGGTCTCCCACGAACTCCAGCCCCACAACATCCCGATGTTTGGCCCGCTACAACCAACAAATCGGAATTGACTGGAGAGACTGAGATGGAGGGCCACAGAAACGATCGTACATGAGCGTTGGGTGCCTCTATACAGCCTTGCACGCCAGCTAGCTGTCACATCATGGACCAAAACAAACCCAAGCAAAGCTCTTCCTACTCGGTCCGGCGAAAGTGGTCCAAACGTAATCCTCTGTTGTGAGAATTATGGGGAGCTGTTCTTGACAACAGCAGGCTGATGCCATTTGCCGACATTGTCACAGTGTCTTGAAGTCCACTTCAGTAGCTTGAAGGTGATCTGATGGTCGCCAAGGCAACCGCAGGGAACTCATCCAGTCCGAACATATCCTCCGCCAGGTTTCACAGGCTCAAGACTCACCTCTCGTCATCCGATGCCATGATGATTGCACAGGTTGGCAATTGAGGTCCTGCCGATATTTCACTCTGTTTGGGAGACACTTCTCGCCGAAGGCGTCCCTCGGGCGCGAATCACAGAGGATGAGAACCGAAACGAAGACTAGCGACGCCAACGACGCAGCCGACTGCCTTCTTTCCAAAAACAGTGCTGCGTCTCGCAAGTTTCACTTCAGGGCATGGTTGGAGAGAAAACATCGGAGAGAATTGGAAGCAGGCATGAGTGAGCATAATTTGAAAAGCAAACATCTTTGTCTAGTGAGAACTCCATTTGCGACCTGTTTGAACTTGATGGTCTTTCCCGAAATACTTTCCGCATCGCTCGTCCGCAATTGGAACGCCAATTCATACGCATCGCATCGTACACGCGATCGATGAACGGCCGTTGTTCGTAGCAAGCATCTTCTCTGAGCATCGACTCCGAACTATCTAGTCACTGGCACCTGTCGAGCCATGAACGCTTGTGCTGATATCGTGCAGTTGTGTGCACGCCCACCTAACAAGCCAGAACTCTGTCGTCAAAGGTTTGACTGGGTGTGGACGAGCGGGTGATACCAATACAGCCCGCCAACTCATGTCCAGCGAGACAATCGGCCCGGTTGTGAATATCCTCTATGACTCTTGGATTGTACGTGCATTTGAACTCGGTTTGACGGTTCCCGTTCCACGAATAAGAGCAGCATACACTCTTATAGGTCGTAGACCCCATTTGGAATGGGTTCGCGAGGGCATTGCGCAGAACGACACACTGAGGTTTGTCGTCGGGAAACCAGTTGACTTTGAAGTTCGTGTGCTGACAGTTTGCCGTGATTTGTAGCTGGACTTGGTCGGCAAGTGCCATGGTTGCGAACAAAAATGCAGGTGCTCCAAGTGTGACCTTCATGGTGATATCGAAGTAGATTGTGGTAGGAGCAGAGAAGATTAGATGGTGCAGCAGTGGAATGACACTGGAGGAGTGGAACTTGCTGTTTTATATATGTTCTATTGCACGACACTGTATATGGCGCGCTCATGTTGATGAACATCCAGCAGGGGCGTGCAGCAGCAGATCGCAGTACGCATTGAGCGTCTTAGCTGAGCACTCGTATTTCGAATACATTCTTAGGACATTCTCGTACATATTCTTCTCAGACGGTCTGCTCCTGTGCTTACTGTGTTCACAAACACACCATGTTGCTGCTGAGCCCTACTAGGTTAACAGCCTTGAAGTACGTTGTTAGTAGATGATGTGCCCCGATGAACATATGACATGTATATCTCTCAAAGCTGTCACATCTTGCCTTCACGATGGGTCTTCTTAGGGCTTAGGTCGTTGGATCCCACGAATTGTTATGTTTCTACGCGCGGAGATTGGAATACGGTGTGCATCGGACTGATGGGATGTGGAGCTATAGCCCTCAGAGTGTCATCCCAGGTTCTGAAACTCTGTTCATGGGTACGATGTTCTGCGTGTGATTCAGCAACAAGCTGAATCAGTTCGTGATGCTTTCTGAATGCGTGTGGTACAGTCATCTATACGGGTGATATATAAGTTCCAGACTGAAGCCCTAAGAGGCCAATCCCGACGCCTCGATTTGAAACTTTATTCTTCTTCGTGCCTTGCATTGTGCGTATAAGTGCGTCAAGCAGTACCGCCTTCGTATGTCATACATACGAGCAGGACTAGAGGCATTCAAACTTGTTGTTTCCTCCGGAAGGCCGCACAGGAAACGATCTGTGTATCGATGGCCGTATTCAATCGAAAGAAAAAGACGATCCGCAGATGATGATGCAAGCCAGTCATTAATATCAGCAACTTGAGATCGTTCATATTCATTTCATTATGTGTTGTGCATCGTAAATCAAAAAATCATCATGGGTTGCTAGTTGGTATCGATTGTGAACAGCACCGCTTAGGGCATTTCGCTCAAATTGAACTAATCGGCAGGATTCTCAGCCGTTAGAGCTGACTATAGCAGCATGCCGTACTTCGAACAAATTGATGCCCGAGAACCGAGTTGGCGCACCACTTTGCTGACTCTGCTTCAGATTTTATACCCCAGGGGCCCGAAAGGAACACCTGGAGGCAGGACAGAGGCTGCTGACGACCCATCCTTGCAAAGGCGCCTTGCACAATACGAAAACGCGTATCGAATCACTCCAGCTGGAAGTCCGCGGAGCCGTTCGCTGTAGACCACTCATTCTCCAATTCCAAGTATACTACAAACCACCGCCGCAAGGAACAAGACAAAGCCGAGCATGCACCATCCCTTCACGACCTCGGCACATCATTCGAAGGACAAACCTCAAAAAAGCTCGTAGGTTTCAACATGACCGTCATCTTCTCACTCGGCATAACAGGGAAATCCTCCGGCCTTGTAACATGCGTGACACCAAACGTATGCCACAGCACCACATCCTCATCGACCGTCCCTTCATCTCTCTTTGCCCAGATCGCAAGCCCCGTATCCTCTCGACTTTGATTCGTAAACTCGCCCGCAGCCCAGAGCTCGTCGTCACGGTATTTCGTCACCCAGATGGGCTTCGAGGTGAAAATACCGCGTCGGAGGTTGAAAGTGTGCGGGCCCATCATCATCATTTGGGAAGGGACGGGGTGGAGTTTGTAGCCCACGGGTTTGCCGGATATGCGATTGATATGGGAAGGGTTGATGATTTTGTATGTTCGGGATTTGGTGAGGTCGAGGTCGTAGCCGCCAGGTTGCGTGATAGGTGTGCTGCGCACACGGAATGCGCAGCCGAAAGGATCGATGTCCGGTTCGTTAACCACAGCTTCGCAATCGTCGTATTGGATGGTGTTCTTCTGTCCATTGAGGTTAGGGTCGATGCGCACACAGAAGAGATGCTGATGGTTCGCGGCCAGGACACCTGGAGCGACGGTTGTGCCCCAAGGGACGTGCAGGCCCTTGCGAATGGGCATGGTGCTCACGATTCCGGTAGCCTTGACTTCGATGTGGAGATTCGCAGCCTGGTCAAGGATGAAAGCGAGGATGTATTCGTAATTGGCCACAGTCGCAGTGCATTGAATGACGAGTTGTCGGTCCCTCACGACCGTCGAGCAACCATTGCGCACATTGGTGTGTTTCCAACCAATCCCCTGATCGACTTCATGCATGCAGACGACATTGGGCACTCGCACTGGTTCTCCATTGCCCGAGGTCAGCACACCATCGAAATACTTAATGTGGCCGAGACAATCGCAACCAAGCTTCAAGCTGTTGGATGTAAGACCGAAGCCAGAGTCGCCCAGATCGAACGCCTGCTTTCGATGATATGGAGAACGAGGGTCGCCATAAGGTACTGTCATTTCACTCATGGAGACGCGGTAGAAAAGCGGCCGGCCATCATATCGCACGTCATGGAGAACAGGTCCTTCTCTAACAGTCCAACCGAGCTGCAGCGACCATTTCTGCCACGATACGTGACGGTTGTTGACCTCAAAAGACGGCCCTTGTGGCTGAGTGATGACAAGGGGCTTGAGATCTTTGCGGAATGAATCTTGTCCCAGGCTTCGAGCACTATATTCCACTGCAGCGATAGGATCCCAAGGCGCGGTTTCTTGTTCGAGCTCAGAGCCCGTGCCCACAGGCAGACGCTCCAAATCGACGAGTTCCAACGTGTGCGCATCGAAGATGGGTGCAAAAGGTGCTGGAAGCGAGTAGTGATTGGCTTCGGGGTCGTCGGTCAAAACAATGTACATGTAGCATTGGAACAAGCGGCGTCGCTCTTTGGCGTCATCGGTTCCGTATGCCCATGGGTCATTGATGACCTTTGCTCTGCGAATAGTGAGCTGTGTGAGTCCCGCGTGATACTCTCGTGCGTCGCTGAAGAGGGATACAAACTCACCCTGATGGTAGACAAAGCTTTTCGACTTCCGCTTTCACCAATGGGTGCGCATTGCATGCCTTTTGTACGGCATCAAACTCCAACCAGTCCACCGGACCCTGCGCATCCGGCAATTCCTCGTCGGACAGTACTGTTTGAGTAGTGATGTTGACGAATGCCTTGCGTAGATTCGGAGAAGGTCGCACATGGAAGTAGATGCGTGCTCTTCGATCGACTTGTGTGTTGTTATTTTCATAGTATCGAAGCATCTCCGCTTTGGGAGCCTCTGCGACATCGATGAACTTGAAGTGTATCTCTCCAGATTTCTTCTTCAGATTTTGGCGGAGGATGTCCGCCGCTTGTCGGACTTCATTTTCTGTGATGGGGTCGAGTGGGTGCTGCCCTCCCAAAAGTGCAGGTGGAGACATGATGAGAGATGATCACTGATGGGGGAACCGCGTCTTCCTGTATGAGTGATAGAAGGCGAAAGGGGGAAGAAGACGATGGCCCATGTCTGCATGCTGGATGACTTGTAATATGTATACTGTGAGGATTGCATGTTGAACTCCGATACCATGACAATGATGAAGCTGGGCCCAGATCCGTGTGAGGAGCAATTGAACTCCGCAAGCTGCCAAACGATGCAGAAGCACGGGAAGTCGGGAAAAGCGGGATCGCCCAAAGAAGCAGTACAAGCCGATATCCATGGTGGAGCATAGGTCACTTGCGCGTCGCGCGGGACAAGTTGAGAGTATTGCCGTTTTCGGTCTTGTATCTCCGTCGCGGGGCACGCCAACTGGATATTGTGTGAAGATCCAGCCGGACGCCCTGGGATGCCAAAAAGCGTGAGCAGCTCGCTCGGTGGAACACCAAGTTTGACATCGGCATCGCTTGCTGCACAATCACCCTCGAAAGCCCTTCATTGTACTATCACGATCGCGAACTGGTCATGGCTGCGACACAGAAGAACCAGGCTCAACTGGCATTGGCGAAGCAACGCAATCATGTTCCATGGTGCGAGCAGTATGAACGCATGATATCTGGCATGCTGTATGTGTGTGCAATCGGGTCGTAGACATGAAAACACATATCCTTGAGTCGCTCGCTGACCGGCTCGCTGCCTTGCAGATATGACTCGTTTGTGCCAGAGATGAAGAAAGCTCGCTTCCACGCTCGTGCCTGGCAGCACAAATACAACCACTATTTCCCCACGGATGTGGAAAGTGCAGATGCACAAGAAAAGTTGGAAGCACAGCGCGAGCAGGATCTTGGTCAGATATTGGGGCACATTGGCAAAGGGGCGTATATCGAGCCTCCTTTCGCCTTCGACTACGGGTGCAACATCAGTATCGGGGATCGCTTCTATGGCGCGTTCCGGCTGACGATCATCGACTGTGGTTTGGTCACGATCGGGGACCGAGTCATGGTAGGTCCCGGTGTATCCATCTTCGCCGCAACCCACGAGACCGAAGTACAGAGTCGAAGGGACGACATCGAATTCGCGAAGCCGGTGACCATCGGGAACGACTGCTGGATCGGAGGACACGTGGTCATCTTGCCTGGCGTGACAATCGGTGACGGCTGCACGATTGCTGCAGGCTCGATCGTGACCAAAGATATTCCTGCCTGGAGCGTGGCAATGGGGTCTCCCGCGAGAGTGGTGAGGAAAGTGCGTGCTTTGGATCCCATTCACAGCCAGGCGAATGGATGCTGAAATGTTCCGTCGATCCACGTCAGAAGAATAGATAGTCATGTTGGCGTTGCAGAAGGGTGGAGCAGGTCTGTACGTGTCGGGTCAGCAGGAATGATGACATAGGGCAGGCCAACATACATATTCCATCCAAGGCACATTGGCCCAGTGTTGGGTGTTTTGCTCCCTTTCTTTCCAGGTGGCATTGAGGATGGTCCACATGGCGTCCTGGGTGAATGCGGATGCGTTGGCGATTTCAGCCAACTGCATGCGCACGTAGTCTTGCAGGTGAGGAGATTCGGTCTCGGTGCCGGCAATGAAGAGAGGAAACAGGAGGCGTTTGTGAAAGGTGGTGCCGCGTGGGACGCGGGCACATGCGTCCAGAATCTCGGCTACGGATGTGCGGAAGCGGTCGTCGGTGCATGGGTGCTCGAAGGGGTCAGGAAAGCGCATGGTGCGGATGAGGGCAACATGGCGCCAGGCCTGGGCGACGAGTCGCCATTCCGGGTGTTGGGTGGGATAGACCTCGTCGTCGGGCTCCCAGGCGCGGAGGAAGCGCTCCGTCTCGTCGGCGGCGGTGACCAAGTCGGCTCGACTGGCGATTTCGGCCAGGAAGGCGTTGCCCGTCTGCAACAGCTTGCCGATACGACGAAAGATGCGCACGGGACAGCCGGTCAGGATGTCGAGGGTGAAGTCGGCGGTGTCGCGCGTGGCTTGACGGACGGCGTCGTGGTGGGCGAGCTTTTCGGCGCCGCTGAAGCCGCGCAGCATGTCCAGCCAGGCCAGCGCGGTGAGCACGAAGGACGTGGTCGAGTGCGGA